TAAAAGGGTTCTAGCCTCTTGGCTATTTAACAAGAAAATAAAATCTAACTACAAGCACATAAATAAATCTAAACTAATAAGCAATAAAAAAAATAAAAGAAAAAAATAAAAGAAATGCAAACCTCCAAATAATTTTTTTTAATTGTAACAAAAGTTATAATAAATTTGGAAGGCATTCCCAATTAAGAGTGATCCTCTTCTCCAAATGGAGTTACAAAAATAAGAAAATAAGATCTACATTAATAAGCATAAAAGAATAAGAAGCAATTCAAAATTAAAAGGAATAAAAAAAGAAATATAAAATCAAAGCAATAAAGAGCAAGAAAATAAATCTATTCTATAACGCATGAAGAAAAATTACACTACAAGCATGAAGTAAATTTAATCCATCAAACATTAAAAAAAAATAAGATGCTAAAATATATAATTCTAAAATAAAAATAAAAGAGAAAAATAAAATTTTATATTGCAAGGGTTTGGCCCTTGAAAGAAAATTTTATATTGCAAGGCTTTTAAACTCCTAGTTGTCCTAGAGGAACGATTATAGTATTGTGAGGAGTTTTAGAGTTGGAATTTGCCACAAAACTTCGGTCAATTGCCTATTTGAAAGAAGTCTAATATATAATTAATTCAACTTATATATATATTATATATATATTATATTATATATATTATATATAGTATATATATATATATATATATATACTATAATTTTTTGTATATTTATTTATAATATATAATAAATAATATAGTATAGTAATATAAAGTATATATATTATATATATATATATTATATTATATATATATATATATATATATATAGTAATATATATATATATATATATATATATATATGATATATTATGTATTACATGTTAAAGCCCGGTAGAATTTAATAAATGAGTTTTTATTGGTGGAAACGTATGTTTATCATTCATAGAGGGAGTGTGGAAAAAGTGTTTGGGGATCCAAACCTAGTGTATTTATTGTGAGAGAAATCAGTGGGAAAACCACACACGAAACAATCTGCACATCAGAATATTGCTGTGCGGTCGGACCGTGCTGGCGCGGCGGTCGACGCGCACAGGTGGCCAAACCAGCACAGTAGATTATTGCTGTAGCGTGCGACCCGCGCTGGGCTCAGGCGGTCAACCGCACAGGGCCAGACTGTTTTTCAGTCTTGTTGTTGCTTTGGGTTTTAGGTCGGGTTTATGGGCTTATATATGTATTAAAATATTCGTGAGAGGCTCTTTTTCATCAGGGAAAACCCTAGCAGCCTCCCCTCCTCCTCTTGCAAACCCTACCTTATTCTTTGGACGATTTTGGAGGATTTCGAGGAGTTCGAGCGAGATCCAGCGACATTCAGCAAAGGAGAACCTTCTCACGACTTCACCCACAGTAGTTCATTACCCCTCAGGCGAGTTTCATCTCGCCTAACTCTACACCCTATTTTTAATTGTTTTTAAATGATGTTTTCATGTGATTTGTGAGCCTAACATGCTATTTTATTTATAAAGATGGATCTTATAATTGTATAATGCAAAGAGAGCAAGTTTTCAGTTAATAAGATCATCCATGAATTTATAAATGCAGATCTAGATCTAAGTTTTGTCTTCTAACAAGAGTTTGAAAGAAAGATAATTATTTTTGAAGGTTTCGACATATATTTGCATGTTTTAAATTGTTGCATTTTGTCTATAGTGATTAGACTGTTTATCTCATGTTCCAGATATGCTAAATCACATGTATAGGGTGCGGACACACCTGCGCGGCGTATGCATAAACATCACACATGAAGTTCGAGATCAAAATCATGTAGAACAGAACCTGAGAATAGGGTTTTTCTGCTGCGTGGTTGACCGCGATTGGCGCGGCGGTCAACCGCGTATCGTGCACAGGTCAATTGTGGGTTTCTGTTTTCATCGCGGTCGATCGTGCTGGGCACGGCGGTCGACCGTCGATCGTGGTCGACCGTGCATGGCGCGGCGGTTGACCGCTAGGGAGCACAGAAGAACAGTAAGTTTTTGCTCTCTGTGCGGTCGACCGGGGTGGGCGCAGCGGTCGACCATGAGTCAGTTTTTCTGCACTGTTATGTTGTGCATACGTCATGTGGCTGACAAGATTTCTGGGTTATTTGGGGTTGTTAAACACTAAGATTTGTGTACATGAGTTGACTACAGACATGAGACTTGTTTAATTCACCGAGACATGAGAGTGAATAGCGTATATATATATATATATATTTAAACTGTAATCTATTGCAATCCATGTGTTGGACACCCATCTATTGTAGCCCATGTGTTGGACCTTGATCTTATAGTCCATGTGTTGGACATTTTCTTAGTTAGGTCCATGTGTTGGACCTTGATCATATAGTCCATGTGTGGGACATTTGCTTACTTTAGTTCATGTGTTGGACCTGCATCATATATAGTCCATGTGTTAGACCTACCTCATATATATAGTCCATGTGTTTGGCTTTTTCCAATTTTAGTCCATGTGTTGGACATTTGTTATAGGCAGTCCATGCATTGGACATTTGTTATATGCAGTCCATGTGTTGGACATTTGTTATATGCAGTCCATGTGTTGGACATTTAGTGGATTTTGCCTTATCTAACATATAGTAGATGAAGTTCATGTGTTGAATAAGTATTCTGATATCTGACAGGACACTTTTGATATAGTTTGAGATGGAGGTGTTGCTCCACGATGTAGTTTGGATTTGATAGTTAGCTATTTATAATATGAGCTTATGGAATAGTTGAGTTATCCACGCACATGTTGTAAATTCCTAAATATCAAAATTCTATTTTATTTCAGATAAGATGTTTTGACTACCTATATGTATTATCAGCTATTTTCTATCCAACTAGCCCTTCCCCTTGGGGTTGGTTGAAATGTTACTCGCTATAGCGCTTTGACGCTCGTTGTTCCCCACTTTCAGGTAACGAGCCAGGTGCGTGGAGAGCCGTAGCTTGATGGAGTCACTTTAGGTTATTATTTATAGACAATGTTAGTAGTTATGTCAGAACTCCACCATAGATATATTTTGTTGAACATTTTGAGATATTATTTCTAGTTTTAGAAAGGCGAATGTGCCTTTGTATTATTTCATTTGGTTTCTTATTGTGAGACAGTTGTAACAGACCAGATGTTTTATTTTCTGAGATTATCCATTTATGTCAGTGATGATGACTTTTCTTCAGAGTATCTGTTGTTTCATATTCCTTCTGTAATTTCTCTTTTGCCTGTTTTGTACCTACATCGGTTATTGATTCCACTAGATAGATATTTACTGTGATGATAAAATATGTTATTGCACGGTGTGGTGCATGGCAGGTTTGACATTCTTGGTTTCATCTTAGACTGCAACCTTGTTGAAACCAGGGCATCACAGTTGGTATCAAAGCTTAGTTCCAGTATCCTTAGGATCATCCTGTGTCGAGTCGTGGAGTTAGAATAGAGTTTCTTAAGATTTATGTATCGAGTCCACTAAGAATTTTCTAGAATGAGTGAGGACGTTATATACGCGTATTTAAAAAATTACGAATATTTTTTTTGTGATATTAAAAGTATTTGCGTGAATGATATATGATATGAACTCTCTATTTATACGAGATCCATATATGTTTTGTTTGAGGACTCATAAAAAAATATTAATCCAATCATAAAAAATAAATTGAAAGATAAAAAAGAAATAACAATAAATTTTAAGTCTCATCAACCTGCAGAATCATCATTCTCTTCATTGTTAGTATTTGCACTTCTCCTGTGATTTTGTGCAAAATTCTCCTCTTCAAAGTTTTCTGAATCAGCACTAAAATTTGTACCCATATTTTAATCTTGTATTGGATTTTGAATATTCAAGTTCTTGTCTTGACAAGTACGGAGTTGTTCCCTTCTTAATGAATTTTCTGCAAGTGCTTGAAGTCGCTTCCTAATTAATGACCTGGGTGCTAGAAATTGTGCCCTTTTACTTTTGGAAGTGACTTCTTGAGTTTTCATTTTTCTGCTATGAATAGGAATTTAAGTATCATACACTATGTATAAAACAAATGTCAAAAGAGAAATGAATAAAAGAAAAAGAAACCCCAAGAACAAGCATAATAATAAATACATAATACATGCTTTCACCTTGGACTACTTTTAACCAGAGCTTACTTATGTGATTCACATGTTTATTTATTTACTTGCTTATTTAGTTATTGATTTATGTTCAAATCCTGAAACTAGCTTTTATCATACAGAATATATAGTTATTGGTTGCCACATTGATCTCATTCTATCAATTGCTCCGAAGTCAACAACTAACACAAGGTAATTTTAACAATAACAAGCTCTTGATCCTCCCCCCAGGATGTCAACATGAACTCAACGATGGACACAATACTATATTAGAAATATATATGCTATTTACTATATTAGAAATATATATGCTATTTTGTTAGGGAATGTGATCTATCACGACCCAAAAAGTAGAAGGTAATTCTGTTGCTTTTTTGTTAGGGAATGTGATCTATCACGACCCAGGATGTCAACATTGATCTTATTCTATCAATTGCTCCGAAGTCAACAACTAACACAAGGTAATTCTGTTGCTTTTTTGTTCATTTCAATTAGGCTCAACTATTTTTTGCAAGGAACAGTCAAATCATGCACCAGGAGGCGATGATATAGATCTTCCACTGTTTGATTTTGGCACCATTGCTGTTGCAACAGACTACTTCTCAGCTGCCAATAAACTTGGACAGGGTAGATTTGGACCAGTTTACAAGGTAAATGTCTTTATCTTTAATTGGATATGTGTTAACCTTGGTGATCATGAGAGGTTATCGGTACACTAATGTAGAAGCACTTGCTGCAATGTCAAAGCCACATCCAAAATATGAAGAAAAAAACATCATATGTCTAAAAAGGAAAAGTTATAGTAAGATACAACTTAAAATTTATCTTAATAACACAATATCATTTGTGTTCTATTCTTTAATTAAAGCGTTCTAATTCTCTGCTTGAGTCTTTTTCCTCTTTTTTGAAGTTGAGACGGAATTTACAATAATTGGATCAATGTCACTCCTTCTCAAATTGATATAATCATCTTCCAATGATATTGATGCAATAGCCTGAGCATCAAATGATTCATCTTGCAAATAAGCTTCAACTCCATTGTCTGTTATCTCACAATCATCTGTATCTGGTGGCATATCATAGGAATCACGGGGTTGTGCTTTAAGAACTACATGCCAATCTTCATTGGCAATATCCTCAACATAAAAAACTTGTGATGCTTAGCCAGCAAGTATAAAGTGTTCATTCATCTTTAGCAAGTGTCGGCAGTTAATACTGATAAATCCATATTTGTCTTCTTTCAAAGCGGTCCCTTTTCCTTTGCCGTGCACATCCCACCATTTACAACAAAATAGAACAACCTTTCTTCTACCAGGATACTCTAATTCGACAACTTCAACCAAAGCACCATAATAATCTATATCTCCACCATCACCAGCATCACCAACAACCGCAACCCCACTATTTTGAGTTGACAAACAATTATCTCGACTTTCTGTATAAAATCGATGTCCATTTATGACAAATCCAGTAAAACATTTAACAATCTTACTTGGACCACGAGATAATGAAAGTAAGTCATCATCTTCTCGATAACTCTGATAAACCTAAACAAAACCAAAATATGATCAAGTCATGGAACATATAATAAAATGAACCAATCAATATACACTGCTAGAATACGAGATTTTGCCGACGGACTTATAGCGACGGAAATTTCCATCGCTATAAGCCGTGTTATAGCGACGAAAAATTCCGTCGCTATTATTCCGTCGGCAAAATAATTTTGCCGACGGAAAATTCATTTTTAGCGACGAAAATTTTCGTCGCTATTATTTTAACTTTAGCGACGGAATTTCCGTCGCTAAAAACATTTTTAGCGACGGATTTGCCGTCGCTAAAAAACTTTTTAGCGACGGAAATTCCGTCGCTAAAAATGATGAGCTGGCAAAAAAATTGGGCGCGGGCGTGCCCAAAAAATTTGGGCAGCCCGCGCCCGAGAGAGGGATTTATCCCAAATCCCTCTCTCAATTTCATTTCCCCCTCTCTCTCTCTCTCTTCATCCTCTCCCCCTTCTCGTTCTCTTCACCGCCCGCCCCGCCGAGCTCCTCGGCGTCGTCGGCCCCAGCGGAGCTGGCAAGTCGACCCTCTCTTTCCCTCTCTCAAGGTACTCTCTCCTCCTACATAGTATTTTTCTAATTTATGTCATTCTAGGGTTTGTGAATGTCCTTTGTGAGATCCAAAGAAGGATCTTTGTGTGGTTTCTTTTAGAACACATGAAGGACGACATCTTATAATCTCTGGTCATATGAGTTGGTGAATTTTGTTTTGGAGGTTGTGTAATTGTCAAAATATTGACTGTGTGAATTCCTTGAGCTCTGATTGGATGTCTTTGATTGGGATTTTCCTTCAAGTGATGATAACGACAGATTGACCACCGATCTGCATCTGTGCACCAACCTATTGTTATTATGAATGTTGAAAATTATAATTCTATATTTTTAACATGTTACTGTAAGATACTTGATTCTGAATTGGCATGATACCATATAAAATCTCTCTTTGTCGACTTAGGCAGTTGTGCAACCACATAAAATCAATGTCTTTGGATCTGTTTTAATTTTCTATGAGATTTTGCCCATATTGTTTTTGATTGCTTTGGATTCACTCTCAGTTTTCTCTTTGCGAATAGATCATATGCCTGGTTCGACGAAGTAGATCTAACTGGGTAGATTCTAGGTGAATCTTTCACATCTATGTCGATTAATTATTTTTGGCACAACACATACTATCATCTAGTTTGACCTATCTCCTTTCGACACAGCTACACACAAACTGAACATTGGTGAACTTTTTTGACTCTTTTACATGGGTGAAATTTTGAAGATATTACAATAGGGGTGGAATTAGAGGGTTTATCTAAGAAATGATAAAGTCTATGTTTTAGATGCGTGTATAAGCGGATACATCCATGTAGTGCTAACAATTTACTCTAAAAAAAATATGAAGAGGATTGCATACATCTAGATCCAAATGAAAGTTGACAAGGTAGATCAGTTAAAAAAATAGGGAGGAAGAAGAACAACAAGCCACAATTGCAAATTAATATATCTATAGTACAAGTTGTGAACGCAAGATTCAAATTAGCGAGACTGAATCTCCAATGATGCGAGGTCCAGATACTAGGGGCGGCATTGTTTACAAAAACCCAAACACGGGTCACCGTTGCCTTCGAAGGAAAATAAATCTATAGGCTAAACCCTAATGATAGAGCAGGACATAACAACAAAAAAAAGATCTTTGCCTCGACCGTACTCAATAGTAATTTTCAAAGGTGACTCGGTCTGTGAGGTATGCATAGGAGAAGAAATGTCGTACAGAACTGAAACTATGGATATTCTACAAAAATCTTGTACTTCATGGGTGATATCTATAGCAGTGATTTTGCTCGGATAAGTCTAATTGGGGATGTTTAGCTTTGTAAATCTCCCCTTTAGACATTTAATACTTCAACACCGTTTGGTGGTAACGAAATCCGAAGTTACAATATTTGGGTGCTATTTAAAAAATTAGTGAAGAGGGCACGCGCAACTCAGGTGCCAAACTCTATTTACGCTTTATGGAAGGGAATGTCACATATTTTGAATATACAAAGGTTAAATGTGTATGTGCTATGTACACAAAATGTTAATAAATAACACTATAGCTACAAAGTTTTTTATGCCACTTTCACAAAAATAGTCAACATTTTATTATAAACTTAGGCTGGGATAAATTGCATGTGATTGTCCTGATTTATATTTTCAGTTGCACATAAAACCTCTTCTGCTCTTTTATTAGCACTTAGCACAAATTTCTAATTTAGTTTTAAATATACATATGTTAAAACCCCATGCACTCAAGAACTGAAAGGGAAATAAATGCTAACAAATGAGCTCATGTGAAGGTACAAATGAGGGAGTTATGCGCAAGTTGCTGTTTATTATTTCTTTGGATACTTGTATTTCTCTAGAGTTTTTAAAATTATACTATTATTCAGTGTCCTATCATAATTAAAGAACAATAAATATTAAATATTAAATATTATTGTTTAGTATTTGCACGTTATTATTTAAACTTCTTATCGAAAATGTGCAAGGATAATTTCTTTGACAAGAATCATAATGATATTAAAATATATATATATATATATATATAGATTTTGGAGATTCTTAATATTATAATAATAATGAAAGTCTGCCCAAGTAAATATTAAACATATTCTAAAGATAAATATAAGTATATATTTCACTTATCTAATTTTAACTTGGAAAGATGAATGGTAGGTAAACCATGTTTTTCTGAAGAATCAAAAAGAGCTTTTTGGTAGACATGTGTTATTTTATTAATTATTTGCATTATATGCTTTTGTTGGATATTCATTATGTTTTCAAAGTATAGATGACAAAAGGATTACGTAAGAAAGCGCTTGAGAGACTTTTTGGTAGACATTCTGGAGGCGACGCACATGCCTCTACGTCAGGTATTTTTATTTATTTGTTATATCTGTACATTTCTATAAACTATTAACATCAGCCTAACATTTTTTTAACATATACTACACAGGACGAGGAGATGCTACACATGACTCGCAGCCACAGGATACATCATGTGGAGATGCTCTACATGGCATGGAGACACAGGCTGATCCTACACCGCATGCGGAGATACCGCCACCACCGCATGCAGATATATTGGAGGAGAGGAGATTTGAGCCGTATAGCGTAGCTGTAGAAGCTGCGGCACTACCGCCAGATTCTATTACAGATTAGCGAGTCCACGGTCCGGCCAAGGTGAAGGGGGATTGGGATTCATATCATGCTTTGCGCCCTATCGTACAGCATAGGTACGAACAAGCAAAGCGTAGATGCCTCGAACTAAAAGGTATGAATAGATTTTTATAGTTTATCGATTATTATTTTAAATTTTAATAGCATATATGGATTGATTCATTGTTTCATCCGATTCATTCTTTCGTAGGTACCGGACGACCTCCTAGGTGCGGCCGCAATGCTACCAAGGAACATAGCCTCATCCCTGATATTCATCGGAGGGCCGTGAACCAATGGGAAAATGGAGTGCCTGTCGGGGCCTTTGCCAATGCTTTCAACAATTTTCTCGCCGCGTTAGCTAGGAGACATGATATCTTCAATATTTTTTTGACATGGAAGTCGCAGCGGATTGATGCGCTGGTGGCTTGTTGGAGATATATATGTGTGAGTCGTTTATTTTAATTTTTTATCATTATTAGTTATTAGTTTATTATTATGTTTAATACACTGATTTGTATCTATTTTTTCTTTATATGATGAAGCGATTTTTCTTTCTTGACGATAATATTTGTGCCTGGACTTACTGCTTCACGCAAATCAATTTATCGTTCAAGAGATGGCGGTTTGAGGTGAAGAAAAAATATTTTGTTCAAATAACAGAAGATTGGGACGATACTGGCATCTTGACGAGCGTATGGATGGAGTAGATTTTTTTGCACTTTGTGATTACTAGGACACGGCTAAAATTCAGGTATTATTCAAGTATATATTTTTAATTTATGGTTTGAATTTCTATATTGTTTTGATTTGACATTGTTTTGCAGGCACAAGCTGAAATAGCGAGGAGGAACCGCAACGCACCCCGCAGTTACGAGCATCACGGGGGCTCCAGGTCCTTCAGCCAGCATTATCATCAGTTGGAGCTTGAGGTATATATATATATAATAGCTTTTAAGTTGAGTATAATTTATGTGTTATGGGTTAATGATATATTTGAATAAAATAGGGAATGGGAGATCTCGGACATTTTGCAGATCGTATTCTGACTTCCTGGAGCCCGAATTACGCCGATGAGGAGAAGAAAGCAAAGAATAAGGATCTGGCTGTAAGTAGCAGTTCATTTATATATTCAATTTCATAAGAATGCATCATTAGTAAGTCGACTTGCCCGGGTTGTTTTGATATATCGCAGGAGAAATTACATGCCAAGGTACAGGAGCAAATGTCTCAGTCTCAGGTCGGTTCTAATACTCCTACCCGGCTAAGTAGAGAGGAGGAGGACTCTATCATCGAGACGGTCATTGGACCGAGCAAGAAGAACAGATACTGGTGGAGAGGATCCGAGCAGAGGCCGCACGAGTCTAGTAGCACCTACGAGTCTGCAGCATCTCCAGGAACACCAGGAAGCAGTTTGTATCAAGACTCGATGGAGCAGCGGTTGAAAGCGATTGAAAATTGGCAGTCACAGCAAACAACATATCAGTGGATTGCGGAGGAAGAACGGAGGCGCTGGGAGCAGAGAGAATTGGAGTTCACACAATTCATGTCGACTCTGTCTCATGAGGCTCAAGAGGCATATAGGAGACGGTTTATGTCGGATCAGGTAATATATATACTTTACTTTTTTTTAATTAAATAAATTAAATATATAATTCTTACTTAGTTATGAATTTTCTTCGTGACTAGATGATATCATACACACCGATACACACTAATACAAACTGTTACACACAAACCCTAACTCTAACCCTAACACAAAGCCCAAAAAATATACTTATAATGTTTATATGTGATTGTGGTGTTGATGGTGCATGTGTGCATAGTGGTGATGGTATTGGCTGGTGGGTTGATTGGTTAGTAACGTTGTGGTGTTGTGTTATGGTGGTCGTTATGTGATTGGTTTGTGGGGGGTTTGGTCGTGGTGGGAGAGGGGGAGGAGTGGGGATTGGGTGTTGATGGTGGTGATGGAAGGGGAGGGGTGTGTGGTTGGTTGAGGGGGAGGGGTGGGGGGAGGGGGAGTGTGGTTGGTTGGTGGGTGGGGTTGGTTGGTTGTGGTGTGGTGTGTAGTGTTGTGGTGTGGTGTATAGTGTTGCGTTATGTTGTGTGTTATTGTGTTGTGTTGTTGTGTTGTTGTGTTATGGTGTTTTGGTATTGTGTTGTGGTGTTGAGGGAATTATATTTATATTTGCACTCTTATTAACGGTTACACACCATTATTAACGTTTGATTTATATTTGCAGGCGGGGACTTCTTCACAAGGTGTAGCCGGGGGTAATCATAATGCAGCTCGTGTTGAGGATGAGGATGAGGATGATGATGATGATGATCAGGAGGATTGATTGTAATTAATTTAACTTTGAAAACAATTTCTTGTGTTGTATAAACAATATTTATTATGTACTGCTGATTGAATATTATAATCTGTCGGGAAACTTTTATTTGTTTTTATTGAAATAAATTTGTGATATATGCGTGAGATTGAATATTATACTGCTGATTGAACATGTTTTTTAAATTTAGTATCGATATTGTACAGGGTTTTTTCAATAATTTTCAAAATATTTTTTTTAAAAAATTAATCATTATTTAGTTATGGATTTTCCGTGGCTAAATATAAATTTAGCGATGGTTTTTCCGTCGCTAAATATGTATTTAGCTACGGAAAACGTGCATGTATTTAGCTACGAAAAATAAAATAATAAAAAAATTAATAATAAAAAATTATTAAAATTTAAAAAACATTAGCGACGGATTGGCAGTCGCTAAATATCCATATAGCAACGGAAAACATGCACGGAAAAAAACTGATTTAAAATTTTAAAAAAAATACCGTCGCTAATTCCATTTTTAGCGACGGAAATTCTGTCGCTAATGGTTTATATTATTTTATTAAAAAATACTGGCAACGACATGGTCGTCGCTAATATCCCGTCGCTAAACTTTAGCAGCGGAAATTCCGTCGCTAAAAACTTAATCAGGGACCCTAAATGTAGCGTTGACATTTTAGCGACGGAATTTGTTTTTTTCCGTCGCTAAAACTTTTAGCGACGGAAAATGGACTTTTAGCGACGGAATTTTCCGTCGCTAAAAGTTGAAAATCCAGCAGTGATATTAAAAAAATAAGGCAAGATATGTACATACTAGAGCTTGGAACCACTCGATAAAGTTCTTATCCCTATCTTTATCATCATAGTGATTTGTGGGTTCTCTCACGAATTCATTGTAGTCCCTACATTAAAATATCATAAATATGATTAACGTTGACTAACTATAGTAAATTTATTAGTAGAATCTTTAACTTTAGTGACTTACTCAATGTGTGGTTGCACTTCATCACAGTTCTTTAGAATATAAATATGAGCTTGCAACCACTCACGTTCATCAAGGTAGCGGGTGGTGGCAGCACCCAATGCCCGCCTACTATGTCCGAAAATAGATAGTTGTGCTTCATTACATTCTCTATTGTCATCTTCATAATTTCTTTCAAGACGATTAAACTTTGTCTCGAAGCCTTTTAGATATCTTGAGCAAAGTGTCATACATTCATCTGCTATATATCCTTCAGCAATTGACCCTTCTGGACGTGCCCTATTTCAGATATATGACTTATAAGTATAAAGCTGACGCTCCACTGGGTACATCCATCGAAATCGAACAGGCCCTCCAAGTATGGCTTCAGATGCTAAATGAACTACTAAATGCAGCATGACATTAAAAATTGAAGGTGGAAAAATCTTCTCAAGCTTACATAACGTCAGTGGAATCTGCTCATCAATTTGCTTTAGTTCATCCACCCTTAATGTCTTGGCACATAATATAGTGAAGAATATGGAAAGTTCAATAATTGGTTCACACACTTTTGCAGGAAGAAGGCCACGAATCGATACAGGAATCAAGCGCTGCAAAAGAACGTGACAGTCATGACTCTTTAACCCCAAAATCTTACGCTCTTTAAGGTTTACACATTGAGAAATATTGGATGAAAATCCATTTGGAACTTTTAACTCCTTTAGAAATCGACAAAATTTGCTTTGCTCTTCTTGGGATAAAGTATAACAAGCTGCTGACATCACAAGTTTATCTCCTCTCTGGATTGGATGTAACTCCGGTTTTAAACTCATAAATATTCTTTAATGTTCATGATTGTTCCCAGCAAACTATCACAAATATTCTTCTCAATATGCATGACATCTAAATTATGTCGCAATAAGAGAGTTCTCTAATATGGCAAATAAAAAAAAATACTTTTTTTAATCCAATTATCTCCCCGCCTTTCGTGTGATATTTTAATTTTATTCTCTGGATGATTGGTCAAGGTGATCCCTATAAGATCTTCCACCTGCTTAAGGATGTCATATCCGGTCAGCTTCGGCGCTGCATACCCTCTCTCCCTAGTGCCATCAAATGATTTCTTATCCTTTCTCCAAATGTGATTTTCATCAAGATAGCGACGATGCCCCATATAGCTCTGCTTGCCTCCATATTTTAACCTGATAGAGTGAGTGTGCTTATTACAACAAGGACATGCTAATTTCCCCTTAGTGCTCCATCCAGATAAATTTGTATAAGCAGGAAAATCATTAATAGTCAAAATTAGTGCTGCATGTAAAATGAAATTCTGTCTCAGAGATACATCATATGTTTGAACGCCTGAGGCCCACAACTCCTTTAGTTCTTCTATCAATGGTTGTAAGTAGGTGTCAATAGCATCTCCAGGACCAGTTAGACCAGGAATGAGCATAGATAAAATAAAATTGGATTGCTTCATGCACATCCATGGTGGTAAGTTATATGGTACAAGTAAAACAGGCCATATGCTATAAGAAACTTTTGAATTTGTGAAAGGCTGGAAACCATCACATGCAAGACCGAGTCTAACATTTCGGGGCTCTTTGGCAAAGCTTTCATGTAGCTCATTAAAGTTTTTCCAAGCCTTAGAGTCAGCTGGATGCCTCATCACTCCGTCCTCAACTTGTCTTTCATGGTGCCATCTCATATCAGAAGCTGTCTTCGAAGACATGTAAAGCCTTTGCAATCGTGGCTTAAGAGGAAAATATCGCAATGTCTTTTGTGGTATTTTTTTACCATTTGACTTTCGCTTGATCTCTTTTCCATGTTTATCAAGTTTCCATCTAGAAGCACCACATCTCTGACACGTATCAAGACCTTCTTCGCTTTTCCAAAACAGCATGCAAGAGAATGGACACGAATCAATTTTTTCATATGATAGGCCAAGGTCTCGGATTAATTTTTTGGCCTCGTCATACGAATTAGGCAGTGTTGATTCCCCTGGCAATAGTTCCTCATTCAAAAACTGGAGCAACATTGAGAATGATTTATTACTCCACCTATTTAGGCTCTTTATGTGAAGAAGTTTCACTAAAGCAGATAACTTTGAACATTTAGAGCCTTCATACAAAGGTTTCTCAGAGTCACCTAAAAGATTGTAGAATTATTTTGCATGTCCATCTGGTTCCTGCTCAAGAATATCTTGACTCGACGTGGCATCAGGTGCAACAACGCCAGTTGAATTATGAAATAAATCTCCAATCATTTCTTGCATTTCATCGTCACTTTGGCTTTCTTCTGTCATTTCTTCTTGTTCTTCATCAAACTCTGAAATGGACTCACCTTGTCTTTCGCCGTGATGACACCAAAATCTGTAGTTTTTAATAATTCCATGAACAATCAAGTGGGTCTTTACCGACTCACGATTACCAGACTTCACATTGCTGCATTTAACACATGGACATCGAATTTCAAAGTCTTCGTCCTTTTCAATAAAACTATCCAACAGCTTCTCATATGCATAGTCTAAGAACTTATCAACCCCTTCTTCATATTTTGGATCAAGTCTACCATAATCTACTAGGTCCATCCAATCTTTATTCGGCGCCATTTCAAGCAATGTACTAAAATTTTCTAAAAAAAATATTTTAACCTCATCAAATACTAAACACAAAGAAATGCTTGTTGAAATGAACAAACTTGGTGTACTCTTTAAAAATGTATGTACTATAACAGCAAAGCAATATGTATTGCAAATTGTTGCACATGGTATATTTCTAGTGGTATATTAGTTGCATCATGTTATATCATTAAGATTAGTAATAGAAAGCACATAAAATATACAATTTAAAGAGGCAATTTTGCGTCAAAAATCTAGCTAAAGAAGATTTCAATGCAGTGCCTTCACAAGGGAGATATGACAACAACATGACATTACAGATGTTATCATTTTAGCCAAAGCATTATATTCTATTCTTTAGAAATTTTTGAATGTCATGCTTCACCTAACCAAAACATATTTGTTTGTGTTTGTCACCATCAGGATGATATTTTACTGGAGTGGGTACTGTATTTATGCCGATAAATAAATTCTTTAGCATATAAACATTTGTAAATATATATACTCATTCCTTCTTCATGAATATGAAATAACTACCTTCAACTCGTGGTGTATTCCAGTTAATGCAAGTTAATAACCAATGTATTCTACCCACATAATAAAGCTAACAAGCAATGCTTAATAGAATGCTAGGAAGCATGCAATCTCCTGCATAATATTATTCTGAAGGAATCCACAACAACTAAAGATACTCTATCAATCTCAAATTAATTGGATTGGGAGCCATCATTACATGCTAGTGTGAGTGGTTGAACAAGCAAAAATCTAAGGGGATATTCGGTTCATTGAGACTGTAAATGCAAATGTCAGCCGCATGCAACAATCTTTATCATTGCGTTAAAAGTAAATTCTCTACAAATATTTGTATGATGTTTGAATTACATATTGTTGTTAGCAATAAATATTTACTTCGTTGAGTTTCACACCCTACTGTTTTCTTAAAAAAATGGGAATCAGGACTTAATCGTAAGTCTAACTAGCTCCAACAACAAAAATTATATTTCGCCTTGATAAGGCCAGAAGCAGTGATCTAGGAATAACATAAAACAGAGACCAAATCAACTAGAAGTAAACTCAAGGAGATTGCTTTCCATTAGCTCAAAAGAAAATTACAAGTAGAGAGGTTGATTTGAAACACAGCCAATTTGGAACAGACAAATCATACTTTCAGGCAGTGTGAAAAATAAAATGGCAAGTTTTCATACCTATAAATCGACAGCCTACAGACTGAGCTTTCTTGTTAAACTATCTGTAACCTCTTGACAATAAAATTGCTAATGTTTTGAGTACCTGTAATGCAAAGTAAAGAATTCAGCATGATTAAGTGTACTGTCTAATAAGGAAACGAACACTAAAATCAAAATATCCACAGATTTCCATTTAGGCAGAAGATATTTACACATAAATTAAATAAGTAATAGCCCATCTCCATTTCTTTCGAAGAGAAAATAACAAACAGGCAAACACCACTTATGGATTTCCATTCAGCATGATTAAGTGTCTAAATCTTATAATACAACAATTCATAACTAATGTATAGGGTCTTTATGGAAAAAGTGCAAAGTTGGCTAAACTATAGGGATTTAAGTGCAAGTATACCACACACACGAACGGATGGCAGGGGCAGCGACAAAGGGCTGCGGCGAAGAACTGGTGATGCTGGGGCGACGCCAATGACGGGGCGACAATAGGGCAGACACTGAGCGGCAGTTGGCGACGCTGGGTCAGCACTGAGCGGCGGTAGGCGGAACAGATCGACGCTGTGGCAGGAACGCGGGCAGAGGCAGGCGACGCTAGGGCTGGGACTGTGCTGAGGCAACGACGGGCGGGAGACGTTGGGACGGCGAAGTTGGAGCAGCGGAGGCTCGCGGCTGTCGGCAAGATGAAGACGACGAAGAAATTACGGACGAGTTTGGTGAAGAACAATGAACAGTAGGCGATTTATTGTTAATATAGGCCCTAGACAAGTTTGGTGAAGAAATTACGGACGAGTTTGGTGAAGAAATTACGGACGTTGAGATACTAGGGTTTAATTATTTTTGCGGCGAGCGTTTTTAGGGATGAATAGGAGATTTTTATGGACGATTTTGGATTTTGGGTTTCGGGTTCTCCTTGGGGCTTTGGTGATTGTGATTTTGGGTCTTGTTAATTAATAGTAATAGGTTAAACTATCAATCCTATTATGATTAGGAGTATCATCAACGAAGGTAATATACTCCTTTGCCTTTCAGTAGACCCAATAACGACGGTATTAGGACCAAATCAACGAAGGGATTAGAAAACTGTTATCCCATCTCATATCATTTCTCTAATAATTGTGATAACTAGATGAAGGGCTTTAAAACTGTCGTTATTTTACACACATTAATGACGGTTAACTGGTCCCTTCGCTAATTTTGGTCGTTAAATACCCGATTTCTTGTAGTGTTATTTACCAAATTGCCATCCACGTTTGTACACCTATATAAGGGATTGTTTTAGGGTTTCTATGTAATCTTTTAGAAATTAGATAGATTCAAAGAGAGATTCTAATCATTGTATTAGGGTTTAGTGAGAATTGAGAGTTTGTTCTCGATTCTAGTGAGATTGTGAGGGAGGGATTGTAATCTTTTGTTCTTCATAATCTAGAAGAAGGTATTTTCCTTCGCCATACTAAATTGTTCTTGTGTTTTGGTTGTCTTCTTCTTAACACACCTTTTGATAATTCCGTGACCAAAGGGTGCTCGCACAGCAATTCGTATCAAGTTGGTATCAGAGCATCAGATTCGGTGAAGGGGCATCCTGTGTATGGTCCTTACTCGATCCTAATACAATAAGCTTGGCGAGATCCTTATTTCATTGGAAGGAGTCCGGGTTTTAAGGAAGAAGAAGATGGCTGAAGGGGACAATTTAGCGAGGATTGATGCATTAGAGAAACAGATCGAGACAATAGGTTTGACTCTCACACAACTCGTCAGTCTTATCCATGGAGGTGGCAAACAAGGTGAATCTTCTTCGAAGAAAATTGTTGAGTACGATGTGGAAAGAGTAGATTCAGATTCCGAAGAGGAGGAGGAGACCGTTAAGACTGTATTGCATCAAGGGTGTAAGAATTCTTATCAGAACCTGAAGAAGGTAAGAATTCTTATCAGAACCTGAAGATTGACTTCAAGGTGGAGATTCCTGTTTATGATGGGAGTGTTGACGTCGAGAGGCTTGATGACTGGATCGAGCGGATGGAGACGTATTTTACTCTTTATAGCTATTCGTCAAAAGAAAAGATTGTGTTCATGACTTTAAAGCTTTTAGGGAACACGTTGACGTGGTGGAAATCCTACTGAAAGCAGGAGAAGAAGGCGGTGTCGTGGAACAAGTTAAAGGAGTTACTAAGGAAGCAGTTCTACCCGGTGGGATTCCTTGAAGAGCGTTGGTACAAGTGGTACAACTTACGCCAAAGGGTCAATCAAACCGTTCAAGAATACACCACGGAGTTCTAGCAGCAGGCAATGGTCCTCAACATTATGACAGAGGAATATTCTGTGTTTATGAAGTATATGGTAGGATTGAGCGATTACATCCGAAAGGAGATGAAGCTATTTACGGTGGAATCAATTGTAGAGGCGAACGTGAAGGCTATTGCCCTCTAGGGCAAACAAAAGAAGGGCAACGAGGCTAAGAGAGACTCCAAACAGACGGGAGGTGAGTCTAGTGGTTCTCAATCTAAGGAGGAGAAGAAGAAGGGTGATCCAGGGAAGGCAGGGCTGATTTGTAGTCATTGCGAGAAGACAGGGCACACAGCTGATCAATGCTGGGAGAAGTATCCCCATCTCAAGCCAAGAGGGTTGAAGAAGAAGGAGGAAAAAAAGGCATACATGATAGCTCAAGGTCCGAAAGAAGTCCCGGGATGACAGAGCCCAACAGCAGTCTCAATCTTATGGCGGGGAAGTAGACCACGAAAGAGGACGACGACCCAAGAGAGCAGCTCTTTGTTCTTAAGTTGCAAGTGAAGACCAGTTTGGTTGATACCATTGTTGATTTGGGTAGCAAGAAGAATTTGATATCTGAGGCATTGGTTCAGAAGTTGGGTCTAAAGACGGTCAAGCATCCGAAGCCCTATCCATTGGGGTGGATTTAGAAGGAGAAGAAACTGTGTGTAGTTGATCAATGCACTATCAGATTTGCGCCCCATGAGTCGTATATTGATGAGGTCACATACGACGTTGTTCCATTGGATGTTTGTCAGATTATACTGGGCAATCCATACTTATAGGATAGATATGCAATCTATGAGAGGCGAGCTCAGAAGTACACCTTCACTAAGGATGGTGAAAGGTTTATATTTTGTTCGGCATCTCTTCCAAGGGAGACAAGCTTGGGAACGGTGACGCGAGTGAAGAGACTAGTGAATGTAAGCAAGAAGTTTGTCTCACTGTGCATTA